ACATTGTTACTTGGTGAACTTACCAGCTACTCTCTTCTACATGCTTCAAGATGGAGGCTGCCAGAAGCGTAGTCTTTGATAGGACTAGCTATCCCCCTCTTATTCTAGCATGCTGCAGTTTAGTACACAAATACTACCTTTTCATTGATACCAATGCATATGTAGTGTAGATCCTTGCTTGCGAGTACTTTGGATGAGTACTCGCGGTTACTTTTCTACTTCTTTTCCCCCCTTTCCCGGTCATCGCGGTAATATGGAGTCCAGGAGCCAGAGGATCCCGAAGATGATTCTATGTGGAGTTCGACTTTGAGGAGTTATTAGAAGGTCCCAGGCAGGAGGCCTCTCCCTCATCTAAAATTGCAATGATGATTACCGATTTAGTTATCGACCACCTAGGGACAAATAACTTTCTTGTGTGACAAAAGCATTTTACTAAACAACTAGCTTTTATTATCTCACAAAGTACTCCTAGTTTTATTCTTGCAAAGTAGTTCTAGCATAATTCCTACAAATTAGTTTCATACTTGTTTTAGGTAAAGCAAACGTCAAGTGTGCGTAGAGTTGTATCGGTGGTCGATAGAAATTGAGGGAATATTTGTTGTACCTTTGGCTCCTTGTTGGGTTCGACACTCTTATTTATCGAAAAAGGCTACAAACAATCCCCTATACTTGTGGGTTATCATTTTCCCAGACACCACTGCTCTTCTTCTAGCTAGACATGTTTCTGATCACTTTCCCTATGTCATTAAAGTGGGTGCTTCAATTCCACAAGCTAGATTGTTCAGATTCAAAAATTATTGGTTACATCACCCCTCTTTCAAAGAAGTGGTCTTAGATGCTTGGAATATTCCTCTAGGTGATTTGGATGCTGTGAAAAGCATTACTGCCAAGTTTAAAAATCTTAGAAGTGCTCTAAAGCTATGGGCCAGAAGCTTATCATGTCTCAAAACACAGATTGCAACTATTAATAAAGTGATCTTCCTCTCTTGTATATTTTTGAGGAATTTAGAGACATGGGAGAATTTGAATGGAATTGTAGGCTGATTCTCAAAGAGTATTTACTTATTCTGCTTAAAAACCAAAAGATCTATTGGAAGCAAAGAGGGAAAATTAAAGGGGTAAAATTTGGTGATGAGAATACTAAGTTCTTTCATACCAAGGCATCTATAAATCACAAGCACAATCATATTGCCATTCTAAAAAATGAGGATCAAGTGGAGATTTCTGATCATCTTGGAAAGGCAACAATATTATGGGAAGCTTTCAAGAAAAGAATGGGCATATATGAAAAAAGCACTATGCACCTTGACCTCAATTCTTTATATGATTTCACATTGATGCTTTTGTTTTTGAAATTCTGGAACAACCTTTTTCAGAAGATGAGGTCAATGAGGTAATCAAAGAACTGCCTAGTGAGAAATCCCCAGGACCTGGTCGGTTTAACAATGAATTCCTTAAGGGATGCTCGGATATCATAAGAGTTGATGTGATAAGATTGATTCATGATTTCTAGGAAGGTCAAATTTCTATGGAGAGCATTAATTCCTCCTACATCACCCTCATTCCTAAAGGACCAACTCCCATGAGTGCAAATGATTTTAGACCTATTTCACTTCTCAATTGTTGCCTCAAGATTATTGCCAAGCTCCTGGCAAACATACTTCACAAGGTGATCTATATAAATCAGTATGGGTTTATGAAAGAAAGACTATCCATGACTGTTTGGGCTGGGCTTTTGAGTATCTTCATCAATGCCATAAATCAAACAAAGGAAGTGGTGGTAGTAAAACTGGACTTTGGAAAGGCTTTTGATATTATTGAACAACAAGCAATTTTGGACATTCTCAAAGCTAAAGGTTTCGGGGATAGATCGATTGGATGGATAAAAATGCTCTTCACTTTTGCAGCTTCTGTTGTTATGTTGAATGGAGTACTACGGAAAAAATTATTGCATAAGAGGAGTGAGTCAAGGAGATTCTTTATCTCCTTTACCATTTGTCTTGGCTGCTGATCTACTATAAACTATATTGAATAGAGCCAGGAACCTGGGACTTCTAACTTCCCCTCTACAAGTGAATTCGTGCCCTGACTTTCCAGTTGTGCATATGCAAATGATACTTTCGTTCTCCTGCAGGTTGATGCTAAACAATTACATTATCTTAAGGCTCTCCTCAATACTTTTGCTGATGCCACCAGGCTTAGAGTCAACTACTCCAAACCAAATCTCATTCCCATCAATGTATCAGAAGATAAAATTGAGATCTTGACAAACAATTTGAATTGCAAGAAAGGTGCATTCCCATTGAGCTGTCTTGGTATGCCTTTGGGCGTCCAGAAGCCAACTGTTGAGCAGTGTCTCCCTTTAGTCAATAAGGTGTCCGGCAAGCTGGTGGGTCTGTCTACTTTCATGACTCTTGCTGGGAGGCTGCTTTTGGTTAAATCTATGCTCAGCTCTCTGATTATTTAATTTATGGGGTGCCTTGATGTGCGAGTAAGACATTGTCTCTCAAGAGGCCCTGATCCGGAGGATCACAGACCTGCCTTAGTAGCTTGGTCCACTGTTTGCAGACCAAAAATCATGGTGGCCTAGGAGTCATGAATATTTTTGTGCAGAATCAAGCTCTGCTTCTGAAAAACCTACACAAATTCTACAATAGAGTAGATAATCCATGAGTCAACCTAATCTGGGAATCATATTATGCTAATGGAAGACGGCCTGGAACTAGATGGGAAGGATCCTTTTGGTGGAAAGCTAATCTGACACTGGTAGATAAATTCAAAACATTGGCAAGGTGGAATTTAGGAGATTAGAAAAGTGTTTCTTTTTCTGGTTTGATCATTGGCACACAACATGTCTTAATCAACTGTTTCCCCGTTTGTCCTCCTTTCTTAAGGACCAAACTATCACTGTGAATAGAGTTTTACAATATGAATATCTGGAGGACCTATTCCACCTGCTACTTACATCACAAGCTTTGGAGGAATTTGAAGCTATGGAAGATATTTGTGACATTTTATAAAGATCAGAATTTAGGGAAGATACTGATACTTGGAGTTACATTTGGGGAAATGAAAAAAAATCGGTGGCCAAAGCATACAGACTTTTAATTGGAGTAAAAATGGTACCCCAACAGTTCCAATGGATATGGAACTCTTCTTGCCAACCAAAACACAAAGTGTTCTTCTAGAGATTATTGCATGACAGACTTAATACAAGAAATCTGCTAAGAAGAAAATATTTTCACTTGGATGATTACAATTGTGCTACACTCAATTGCCAGCGGGAGGAAACTTTGCATCACCTTTGGACTTGCCCATTTTCTTCACAGTGCTGGGATCTCATCTCCCCTCATAGAAAGAGGAATCTCTTTATAATGGAAGCATTTGCAGATTTGAAGCAGAATCTACCGGTGGCATTCTTCATGGCGATTATAATATTGGCATCATGGGCCATTTGGATCACAAGGTACAATCTCATATTCCAAAACATTAAGCCAACTATTATCAGATGGAGAGATACTTGCGGGGAAGAGCTTCAAATATTCAGGCACAGAACTAAACAGAGGTGTGCTAGAGAATACAGCAGTTGGCTAGATTCACTACAGTTGTAATTTTGTCTTTTTCCTTCTTCTTTGTTATTCTTCTTCTGTTTTATTCTTTTCTCTTTTCTTTTTTTTTCTTCTTCTTTTGGCTTAGCTCAAGCCTTGTAACTTTTGGTTAATTAATAAAAATTGTCGTGGAGAGGTTGCCATACAGTGTACAGTAAAAAAAAACTGAGAGTTGTTTCCCTGTGGGGTTAGAGAAACATTGAAGGGAGTAATAAGAACAAAGAAAAAACAAAACAAAGGCTTTCGCTGAGTACAACACTTGGACAATAAGAAATAAAAACAAAGTACAAAAGAAAAAAAGGATTCTGGTGAGTACACCACTGGGAAAATAAAAACTAAAAATCAAAGAAAATGAAAGTGTAAAAAATTTAAAAGGCTTTCCCGAGTGCACCACTCGGGAAAGTGTAGATAAAAAATAAAACAAGAGAAAAAATAGTAAACTAATAAAATACTTTTGACAAATACCTCACTAGATAAAAAATGCAAACAAAGAAAATAAAATGGCAAAATAACAGGAAAAAATGTCACACTCACTCAGCAAAGTTTTTTTTTACAAAAAGTACAAAGAGAAGAAAATAAAACAGTAAAATAATAATAAGACATTTTCCTAGTACTTACTCCGCTCGGCAAATAGAAAGAATAATAAAACAAAAAAAAAGAAAGAAAGTAAAAGAGCACTATCATCGCAAAATCTTTGCCGAGGACCAAACTGATCAAACACCATGACAACGTCAACGCTCCCTCAGCTGCGGCCACTTGGGACACGTGTCCAGCCATTTGCGGAGTTTTAGGTTTTTGCATAGTGTTGCACTCAGCAATGCTCTTTTTGCCGAGTTCTTTGTCTTTGCTATGTTTTTTCCAATAAAAAAGTGTGGTATAGTAAAATAGCGCCGGCCTATTAGCAATGCAACATCATGCTAGAGCGTGCTATTAGCGAGACATTGTACACTACATTATTTAGCGAGCCATTTCTCAGCACACAATAGCATTGCTATTAGTGATGCTATAGTGTGTTATTTTTTCCGATGGTTTTTGCCTATGTACTCAGCTTTTTTCATCTTTACTAAGTGCCTGATAAAATGAACTTGACAAAGAAGCTCTATGATTTGTGTCGGTCCAAAGACAACGTGATAGTGATGTGTTTTCACTAAGTTGACTAAGCCACGAACTCCATCATCACCGCCACTCCACACACAGTCGTACATACTTGGTGGCCAGCTGCAACTCCTACCTCTCGTCACCTATAAATACATGCCCAGGCTGCTCACATTCACCTCATCGCATATTTGCACACACTAGACAAACCCATTCAGTTCCTCTTACACAAAGAATTTCGTACAGATATACACTCACATTAGACTCTTCGGACTTAGCTCGATCCATTTTATTGACATGGCTTCCTCGCGTGCCATTATGATACTTTCCTTGTTTGTGTTGGCATTGCCGCACTCTGTTGTGCAGGCTAGGATGATACCAAATGATCAACCACAGATGCTCGCCGAGAATACGATCGGTTCACCTCCATACTCGTCATCTCCAGATTTGCTTCAAGTGTTCATGGCGCCACCACCGCCAATGCCTGTTACGTTTGCCGGCAGCATCGAGATCACCGGTGCCAAGCGTAGGCGTGCTAGCCAGGCCGTTCAGGGGTCCGTTCCGAGCCCCGGCGTCGGCCATCACTAGCTCGTCGATCCTCTAATCAAGTGAATATATTTTCTCTACGTTTCACACATATCGATCTATATGAATGGTGCATATGCCGTCCAACATATTGGCTAGCTAGCTGTAGCCACAAAGATTAGCTACTTAGGTTAAACAAAACATATACATGTAACCATGAAAAGCGCATCATGCTCTTCAATCGTACTTCCTTGATTTGTATCTCTTTTTTTTCTGTTCGAGAATATGTCATGAAAGGCATACCAGTTACATATATATGTAACAAAACATATATACTCCCTCCGTCCGAAAATACTTGTCATCAAAATGGATAAAAAGAGATGTATCTGGAACTAAAATACGTCTAGATATATCCCCTTTTGTCGATTTTGATGACAAGTATTTCCGGACGAAGGAAGTACTATCATGAATAAATGAATATTTATATTCAATTCTCAACCTGGTTGCTGTCAGTTTGGATTGTTTGATCACTTCTATTTTGTTTCTTGAGGCACCTTTCATTGCAATTTTTGTTGGTAGCTTACCAAGCTGACCACTTGGTTTTTCTTGAGGTACCTTGAGTTATTATTAATTGTGATGTATCCAGCTGACTGGATTACATCAAGACTTATCTGGCGCGAAGAAACATATCATAATTTAGGACTTTAGCAGGTTACAAACTAAACATGTCTCTACACCAAAAAAAAAAGCTGAATATGCATCGACCTTGCTCAATTGCTGTCTTGGAATTACGATAACTTGTTTCGTGCATTTCTCTTGATTCGCTGTGATTATGACCAATGGATGAGCTAGTGCTAACACTGTGATGACGTGTCTTTCTGTACCAACAAAAAATATCTGACAAAATACAAGATTGGTTTGCCGGCTAATTCCGTAGAAAAGTAAGAAATGTACGCGCAATGCGGATTCTTTTTATCATGCAATCATCGACTAAATAAGTGGCCTAAGGTGGTCGTCGATATAACACTAATGCACGACATGCAGATTGTTTTTTTTTTAATCCAACATGCTGTCACTGCCAGACTTGCATGCAGATACCTAATTTTTGCACCATGCATGATTGTCTAAATCAACGCGCTAAAGGAAGATCCTGCGACAAAAGCCTAAGCGAATGTAAACGCAGGTTTGTTCCAACATGAAGCATTATTCTACTCAATTAAGCATATAGTGACATTTGAAACTGACTATGAATGATTATGAATAATTTTGGTTCATCCGATGATCTAATCACGCTGGCTGATAGTTCTGAAAGATTTTGCAGATAGTATAAGAAACGATTTGTTTAATATATAAAAATCATGACTTATGATCTCCTATCTTGCAAATAAAATTCTAGACAGGTCCCCATTTGTTTATCTAAAGAGAGAAGCGCTTAGCGTTATGAAGCTTACATGGAATTTCAAGGTCTTGAAGATCAGTCGGTGGGCAAACAAGGCGGCTCATGAGATTGCTAAGTTTAGTTTTGACAATAGGACAGACGCTCAGATGGTTTATTTTTCTATAGTGTTTCGCTCTGCGTGGCGTATGCTGTAATGAATGATTGTACAAACATTTGAAGTTTATTAATATATGAGGTGTTTAAAAAAAAATCTTGGGTTGTGATCCGGTCGCTAATTCTATTTAGTGACGTCCTTTTTTTAACACGGTACAATTGTAGACTCTCACATACACACATACACACTTAACCTTATGGATGCACGAATGCACATCCAACCTTTATGAGCACCCCCGCGATACTGAGCCGGCACAACATCTTGAGATTAACAAAGTCCTCATAGACGTTCTCGTAGTCGACGAAAACGTCTCCTCCCACAGGCCTGAAATAAATCCAGGAAGATACGACCACAAGTACTAAGTCTAGGGCTTGAACTCTGGTGGGTTGGTTCCACCACAAGGAACCCAGGCATCCCATTTCTCGGTACGTATTGCTTATCCTAGTGTGGATTCTTTTATGGGCAACGACAGGATAACTCTTTGTTCTCGATAAAGGGTGTTTGTACTAACTCAAAATGAAGCAACAAGTGGATACAAATCATCATGAGCGACATTATGGCTGCTGCATAATTAGGATGGGCATAGCAAAAAGTAACAAGTCCGAGAAAAAAGTAAATAAATATGAATATGAATATGAATCCAATAATGTAATTTTTTGGAATATCAATATGAATCCAATAATGAAAAAGGTCACAATTGTTTTCATTGAAAACTTATTCTCAATATGAATCCAATATAATATTGGCAAATTTATGGTTCATGTTTAAACAAAAACACTAAGAGGGCTAATAAATCTAAGAGGAGGAAGAACTATACTACAATCACCATGTGACATTTGGTGGCAATAAGTTGCAAGAAATTAACCACTAATTGAATACTACAGTACAAGAACCGTTGGATATTCATAGTAATGAGGCAAGAGCTTAGACTGACGGGACTTCCTCGGAAGCGTCGCGGCAGGCAAACCCTAGCACCGCCGCCGGAACCCACCCTCCCCTCCCTCTTCCCTCGAAGTCAGGTCGTCTCGGCAGCCAGCGAGGTCTCTTTTGTCTCCACGTGCGGGGGATTCGACGCGAGCTGAGTTACTCAGGACTGGATGTGGCCCTTGGACCAAGGCTAGCGGCTACGGTGGAGCTGAACAAGGGTGTTCTGGTGGGGAGGCTGGTAGGGGGAACATTTGTAGGTTGTCGATAGCGGATTTTGATCGCTTAGGATTTTTAGGGTGCTAGCTTAGGCATAGCTTTCGC